CATGATACCCTTAATTCTGCATTTCCTGTGCTTTTGCTTCATTTGCAATTTTAAGAGATTTTCTATAAGAAGTAGATATATTCTGTATTGTACATCAGTAAATTAACGGGTTTTTACTATAGAACTTTAACCCTTTAATTCTGGAGAACAAATACAGTTGCTTTACAGTAAATTAAATAAGAAAGTATTTAACTGTTTAGCATCCTTTAGTGTGCAGTGAGAAAGATGCTGTCAAAGAATTCAATTTTTTTCACACACTGTCATTTTGCCTAGGAGTTTTGATACTTGATTTTGTCCATGTGTTTTAAGCAATTATTTTCAGGTGACTTCTTTGTGCAACCAATACTATTGACTGCAGTAGCTTTGAAAAGAGTTTTTCCTCATTAACGGCTTCTGCTGAATTGTTGGGAGACCAAAATGCTGTCCCTGGTGGCTCCTAAAACTTACAGATGCATGCAGTGAGATTGCTAATATTATTTTTAATGAAAAAATGTTGAAGTACTACTTTTAATAGCTTTATGCAAGCATGAACGACTTGAACTGCAGGGCTAAATCTCAAGCTCCTTGAGCTGTTCTTCAGCCCCCAAAATACAGTTCGTGTAGGTAGGTCTTCAAAACTAAGAAACCACTTCCAACTGCTCATCCAGCCAAACCATGGTGAAGCAGTAAATATAGAAACGTCATGTGTATGGGGTCTCTGCACGTGACAGTGCAGTGAATAACGGGATCACATTTCAAAAGACAAGTTGACCTGCTTTTAAGTCTTTGCTGTCATCTGAAAGCAGAAGTGCTGTGTGTTTTTTCAAAGCATTTATTTTACCTCAAGGTAGATTGTGGGGAACGTTAGGCAGCCTGGCAGCCTCTTTGTTGGGAGGGGAATGCTGAAGAGAAGAGAGACTATCCTATGGATATTTGCCACCTTGCTGGTGACCCTGGGCAGGACTCATTTATTATTAATGCTTTCAAAAATCTTTAGAAATAGCTTGGTTTATAAGCATAAAGCTCATATCAATAAGCACAGTACCAGTAAGGATGGTTAGCAGCCCTGTCTTTAATACCTTCAAGTGTTACTAGTACTTAGAAATGCCAATTAATCAGATTGCGGACAGGAGACGGGATTTCTTGTCAGTTATGATTGATAGTTTTGTCTGTAGGATTTCCCCGCATCCTTCCCGTAACTGTGAAATGGCAGGTCCTGTGTGTATATAAATGACCCAAAGTATATATGTGATTTCCATAAATCTGGACAGGATGGGTGGCCTGTAGAAACAAGTCATACTGTGAAACAGAGTGATAGCTTCAAAATAAAATGACATTTTTTCATTGGTTATAGAAAAGAGTGATGATGCAGAATTCCTTATCACTGTCACATGACGCAAGTCAGATTTGGCCATGAGTGCCTGGATTTTTCAGCCTGTTCCACAAAGAAATTCCAGGGAAGGAACAGTGGGATACGGTTTAACATTTTTCCAAACCTCTTTTGAAAAATGCAAATGAGGATCTACATAGCAAACTGATGATACAGATGAAGTATCTGAAACCAATATATCAAAGATTCTTCACTTTCCTATAAAAGTAATTTGGCAGTATGCCATTATTATCATGTAAATCTCTTCCTCCTTACTGCACAATAACAATATATCCTTGGCCATCATTTTTTCCTCTTGAGGTTGTTGCTGTTATCTGTAATTTCCATAAAGTTTCCATGTTAACAATGCCTACTTCTCTGTTCACTTACATTACTAGTCAGTGCATACTTCCAGAAAACAAAATATCTCATGTAAGTGTTTTGAGCATGCCCGTTCCGTGCTTTTTTGAATTAATACAGCTAAGACATGTTTTAGCAGAGGCTGAAGTATCATGTTTAGATGTGCTAATCTACTCTACCTTTGCCAATTTTTTCCTTTATATTATGCAGAATGCTCATATTTGGCAAGATATTTCACTGCTTGGATTTTTGCTTCAAGTATTATCAAGCTTGTTTTATAGATTGAATATATTACTGGAAACTATTTCTAGCATGATTTATTGAGTTATCATATTAACTGGAAAATGCGTACATAGATCAGAGGTCATCTCTGTTCAAGTATTTCATAAAGCATGGTAGAAAGAAGAGATTATTTGGAAAATTGTGGGTGGATTGGTGGGGATTTTTTGTTTTTATTTTGTGGTGGTGGTGGTTGTTGTCCACCCCTCCTCTAGTCTTCCATGTCATCAGTCACTGAAGTCTATCAAACACTAATGTTGGCATTTCCATCTATGCCTGTCTGGAGTATTCAATCATTTTCTGTTACGCCACCTTTGTAAGGGAAGTATGCATGTCTACTTGTTTGTTTTTGGCAGATGTCTTCCATTTGCCATGTCATATGTCAAAATTGGTTATGATAGAACTGATTTTCCTCCATTAAGAATTTAATTTTTTTCAGTTATGTTTTCATCTTTCTGGAGTCTGCTTTGATTGTAAAGACTGGACATGGACCTGTGTGGAGTCAGCTCCAGGAAACTACTGATAGACCATCTGTATCGTAGCTGTGTGTGCTTTAAGAGCATGCTTCTTCCTTAATGGCATGGTTTATAGATAGGGAGCTGGGACCGCCTGTGTGTTGGCCGTCACAGCTGATCTGGCACGTGGTATGTTAACATATAGGTTATGTTAATACACTGCAGATTTAGAAGTAATGATAAATTTGTGCTTCTACTTCCCTGCCAGAGGCAGTGGTTCCTTTTTGTGGGTTCTGTTGTTTGGCTGTGCTCTGAGCTGGACTTGGGTGAAAATGAATGGAGTTTGGGGGAAGAGAGGTTGATTTATCCAGATGATTTGGTTGAGAGCTGAACAAATTATTGCACAGACACTGCTCAAGGGAGGGTGCCTACTTGCTAGGGACAAGAAGGAGCTGGGAGTGAAAATGATTAATCCACTGCCAAGGGAATAATTGCATGGACTTGAGCCCTTGTCCAGTACTCCTGAGGACAAGGGCTTCTTCCTCTGTAAAGAATCATGCAGAAAGTGCTAGTCCTAAGCATCAGTGCTGTTTTTATGTTAATGTGTCAGGAAATATTACTGTTGTAAAGATTGTGGTGGTGGTGCTTATAAAAATATACCTGAGGTTTCACTGCATACCGGTTTACTTATCCTGCTTGGTATGGAAAAGCATTTAGTAATTAAGTTAAAATAATTAAATTGGATATTGTGAACACGGGATAGATTTCCAGCATTCTTTTTTCCCCTCAAGGTTACAAAATATTATTCTTGCATTAGCATCTTGGAGTGTCTTGAGCAGAGATTATAGGTAAGTTAAAACTAAAAGTTCAGCTAAGGTAGAGTAAGAAGACTTGGCGTCTTGTCATAGTTGGTGCACAATGAGCTTATGACTGGTGGCTTAGCATCCACATTCTTTTCAATATGAAAATTTTAGAAAATGTAATTCAAAGTGCAACATCGCATAATTCTGTAAGCATTTTAAAATGACGTTTAAAAATCAGTGGCGCCATGATCAGGTGGTGCCAAGGACCCGCTTATCCAATTTTACTGTGTCATCTGAATATTAACTGTCACATAGAACAGCTCAAAAAAGGCAGTTGAGTTTTTAACTTAGTAGGAGGTGGCTTCATTCAGTTAGTTATCTGTCCCTCCATTTGGGGATACGTGGTTTCAGGAAAATACTTAACATATTGCAACACCAGCTATGCCCTTAATGCAGAAAGGATGGTGGTGATTTCCATTCCAGCCTCAAAAAACATCTCGGCGTGAGGGAGTTACCTGGTCACCCTGCATCCTGGTGGGCAGCGAGTGGTCGGTGCATGTGCTGAGTGCTCCAGCCTTGAATTGCCCAAATCTTGCCGTGCTAGCCTGTAGAAAACTACACAGGTTATGCCATGAGCAGATTATATGCGTCTTTTGAAAACCTGTCTTGGCTTTTCAAACCTTTTCGAGTTTAATTTCTTCAAACATGCTGTTGGGAACCGCCGTAACTTTGAACTGGTGAAATCTGAAATAAAATATTGAACGATATGCATACAGAATCTTCCTTCCTTGTCTCCATAAGTATTTGTTTAGCCTTTATACTTTGGCTTATTTTACCTTTTTTCAATTGCTACTGCAGTTTATATGATGATTATTTCTCATAGTTGAACGTCATCATTGCTGCTGATTTAGGGCCTTACTGTAATTAATATGTTCATGCACACAGTATTTCCCTTTTTTGTTGTTGTTGTTTCCTTTTTCTTAAACTTTTTGCCATAATTACAGTAAATGATTTCTTTGATTGCATGTTGAGAGGGCAGAAATGCTGTGCCAGCAGCCTTTTTTTATTCTTTGCTGCTGCTACTATTCTCTTGTTGGCTCTGGAGGGTAAAAAGATCTATGCACTCTACTAATTTTCGTGCGTACTTAGACGCAATCACAACCTTTAGTAGTTCTTATTTAATTAACTCAGAAGTATTGCCTGAATAACGCAAAACTAAAAATTGTAAAAAAGAAGAAGGGCCAAAACCAAGTATTTTTATACTTCAAATCTATATACGTTATTTCCTGGAATTTTTGTATAAGGTGTTAACATGATGGTGACATTAAACAGTCTGCATAATTGCAGAAGTATTGTGGAAGGTAGAAGGTATGTAGTAAAGTATTGTAGAAGGTATGTAGTAGAAGAGTTTGGCATTTAGCTGGGGATCAAATTTGTTTTCATAATCTGTAGTGAGAATTTCTTGGAGCCTTGAATAAGACCCTTTTCTAATATTGAAATTTTAATTCTGCTTTACTTTTTCTAGGTGTTTTCTTTTCAATTAGCAGGAGTTGACTAAATATTATTTTTTTGATAAACACACTGACTAATTCTGGCAGAAAAAAAGTGTATATATTTGGAGAATTACTTATAGATCAGTAGGTGTGATCTGTGAATGTAAAAATGAGCAGTAAATGTTTGTGACCATTTATTTGTGTGAAGGCAACATAAAGACTGGCTTTTAACAAATAAAAGTTTCTGGGTTTGCTTTTGTAGTGGATGGCTGTATACACAGAGCTGCTGGGCCCTGCTTAGTTGCTGAATGTCGCAACCTGAGTGGCTGTGAGACTGGACAAGCTAAAATTACCTGTGGATATGACCTACCTGCAAAATGTAAGTCAACCCTTTCTCAGCGTTTTCTTTTTGTTTTAAGCACGTGGAGCTGGTACGCGTGGTTTATTTCCCTGTAGTCTAATTCAACAAGGTATTAATTTTACAAAATTAGCAGTGGGACTTAATTAAGCATGTTCTGTAATAATGTCTTTCCCTCAAAGCAATTCAGGCTTTTCAAAATTATTTTTTTCACCTGTGTTACCCAGTGAAAACCTACATATCTCTAAAATATGAAGCATCTTTCATGTTTTTTTTTTTTCAAGCTAAAACATATCCTTTCATATGCATAATAAAGGATTGGAAATGCTTTATGAAATATGAACAAAATATACATTATCATATTTAAGTTCCACGGAGACAGTTTTTGGAAATGTTGCATATTTCATATTCTTCATGCAGATTCCTTGATTGTGAATACTTTGAGAGCTGAGGAGATCAAAGTGATGTATTGTGTTTTCAGCTGCTACGTAGAGGCTGATTGGCGATTACTGTGAAGGCATCTGTCACACTTTAGCTTTCAACAGAGTGCAGCTCAGTGCTGGAATGTTTTTTGCACTTTGAAAATGGAATTGTCAGAATTCCCATCTTATTTAAAAAAGGAAGACAGCTATTTGACCTTGTTGCGTAGATGTTGAGCTTGTCTTGGAAAAAACTAACATGTTGACAGCACGTTGGTAGGCCAGTCTATTATGTAAGAATAAAAACTAGGAAATCTCTGCAAGTTAGGACCTTACAGAATAGTATATTAAGATATGGTGATACAAATACCAAGACAGCATTACAAACAGCGTATAACTAGAATTCAAGCCCTCTTTTTTAACATGCAGTCTGCACTAAGAACATGGCTCATTCAAAAATGTTTAGCTCTGCTTTCTTAATTTGTTCTACACTTTGTTCATGTAAAATCAAATGCTTACTGCAGTAGCAAGTATCTTTTTAGATTCCTGTGGCCCGTAACACCTTTGGTAAAGAAGAAAATTGCGTTCCCAGTCTTTTGTTGGCACCTTCTATGATGATGATGATGAGAGCTGCCAATTATTTCCTTGACAGTGATGATTGCTATACATGAGAAAACTTTGCTATTTTTTATATATAGTTTTGCATGTGTTAATGATCGTTTATGAAAGGTTAACTTGACTGTAGGGCAGGGAAATTGTTGGGGAAGAGTCAATGTGGTCATTATGTTGGATTTGTATATGACCAAAATCTTCACCAGGTTCCCACAAAATGGGTAGGATTATTATGTAACACATTGTAATTTACTCTGCTGGAGATTTTTGATGTTTAATCCTTCCCCTTAAAAAAAAAAAATAAAATCACAGGAGGTACGGAAAAGCTGCTCATCCATAGGTGCATCATTCCTCCTGTGTACTTTAATGAGAGATATTAAATCCAAGGTATCAATACAACAAGCACTGAACCGTGTTAGAAAGAGAAAGGGTCATGCCTGAGGTGTGGCCTTCCTTTAAATTTTGTAGCAATTTAATGAATCTTGCTTAAGCTAAGTTTGTAGAATGGAATCCTGTTTGAAGACTATAGGAAAATATTTTGGTTTGTTCTTTATGTAAGAATAAAAGAATAATAAACAAAAGAAGGAGAAAACCCATTATCACTTGCAGTTGGAAATAAAACCTGTAACCAGACATAGAGAAAAGTCAATATTCTGCTTAATCAATATTCTTAGAAACTGAAATTGCATTAAAGACATGTCTATTTGTAGTTGATCATGCATCAGCATGAGAGGGGGGAAGGATACATTAACTGACAAACAGGCACAGGGAGGGAGATGTACAGTTTGCTTGCAGAGGCTGAGAATTAGATCATAGAATCACAGTATGGTTTGGCTTGGAAGGGACCTTGAAGATCACCCAGTTCCAACCCCCCTGCCATGGGCAGGGACACCTTCCACCGCCCCAGGTTGCCCAAAGCCCCGTCCAGCCTGGCCTTGAACCCTGCCAGGGAGGGGGCAGCCACAGCTTCTCTGGGCAACCTGTGCCAGGGCCTCACCACCCTCACAGTAGAGGTTTATTCCCAATATCTAATCTAAATCTACCCTCTTGCAGTTTAAAACCATGACCCCTCATCTTGGTACTCTTGATTTCTTGATTTTTTTTTTTCCTTAGAACTTATTTGTGTTCTCCAGCTGTTGTTTTCTTTTACTTTTCCATTTAGAAGCTTTTGGTTGTAGGCTCATTAAGTTATTGTACCTTTCAGACCATTCATCTGGAAGTGATCAAAAAATCAAGCTTTCTTTTCATATTTTAAAGAGCTATAGAGCCACTGGATATCTTTTGTCACTCCGTGTCGCTTTTTCATAATGGTATGACAGTTTAACTGTGGAAACTATTTTACATTTGATTTTCGTGATGAGAGGAGCAACATGACAGGAAGTCTGAACTTCCCCATCCAGATGCGCTGTGATGTAATTTTGTGTGTCAGCAATTTGTTGAAGGTTATAAGTGATTGGATAACTGCCAGCTTTCAATGAGTTTGCTTTTCACTTACCTATTTGTGTATAGGAGACGAACCACAATAATCCATTAACAGTTTGAGTAGTGCAGTGATTATTTTGTTGTCTCTGCTCTTCTCATGACTGTAGTTGGATGAATAATGATAGTAAATGTGAAATGTTATTACCTAGCGTGATGAATTGGGTGGGTTTTTTTGATATTTAACAGAATTGTAAAATGTTACAGTCATTTTGCCTACCCCTGGGATTTTCCCATCTCTAGTTCTTGATCCTGAAATGCTTTTCTTGGAAGCAGTTTGCTGAAATCAGCAAAGCTGTTTTGGGATGGAGCAGCCTGTATGTGTTCTGTATGATGCAGGGCTTGGGCTTAAGCTGAGGGCTCAGATCATGGCAGCGTATTGCTCTGCCTTGTAGACAACTTGGAGGAAGTTGGAATTAAATTGGATGTTTGAAGGGGAGGTGTGATTTGTTAGGAAGCTGGTACTTGGTAAATAAAAAACACTTTGGCAATCTTCTTTATGATCTATTGTATTTTTATTGAATGCTTCACTGTATTTACTTAGGTTAAATAAGAACAGGTCTGATAAATAATTTCTTCACACAGGAAAAATTGAAAAATAATGTCTAACTGAAAAATGCAAAAATTTAGGGTATAGGCTAGCTTTCTGTGATTTGTTCTTGTTGCATATGAGTCAGAGATCAGTTTGTGAAATACACAAGTAACAGTAAATGTTCAGGGAGAGAATACACCAAATAGTCCTTTTTTTTTCCCACATCTTTTTATCCTAATAGTGTGAACAGTCCAAGATTAACATGTCTATAGCCTAGAGATGTTGCTTTATGAACTTTCAAGATACATATTTTTGAACACCAAAAAATAGTCTGTATGAAAATAGAAGTGAAATCAAATTGAGTTTTCTAATTACCAGTTAATGTAACATTCAGTACAGTTTTACAGAAGTCAGTGTAATCACCATCTGCCTTCTGTGCTGCAAAAGCCTACACAAAGCCCCCCCAAATGCCAACCGAGTTACTTGCTGAATTCATAATTTGGTTGATGTCATCTATTGTTGTTTTTCAGCAAACACCTCTGCAGGCACCCAAGTTTTCATAGTTCTTTGGAGGGCTGAAAAAGGCAGTGCTTTTTTCTCTATTTGCCTTTAATGCTCTCCCAGACTGATCATCAATTACTTAACTTCTGTACTTCATAATGTTGTTCCTTCTAAAGAAAAGTTCATTCTAAATATTGTACAACCGGTCTTCAAACATTGAGCAGTACTCCGATACCGTCGTGCTTTAAATAACAGATGAACAGTATCTGTTTAAAGCTCTACAAATGCTTGTTTTCTTTCTCATTTGATTAATAGTCTCAGTTGGCTCTACTGGCAGAAAATGGTCTGAATGTAAATTGTGTTTATGGCTTGAAACAAGGGTCCATAACAGCCTCGTGGCTTGTTATCTGCTTGCAGAGGTTCACTATAAAAAAAGACCTTGTCAGAACACATTAGAAAATACAGTCCCGTTCTGCAAGGTATTTAATGGGCTTAAAACCGATGGAAGACATGGTGACAACATCTGACATAGGTAAGTGGTACCCCGACCTTGGCAGGAAAGGACCCCCAAACTAACTTTTTCCTGTTGTTAATATGTCTCCTAATAACTTCTTTCTTTTTCTGAAAAATGTTTGATAATAAAACCCCCAAACCTAGGAAAATAAAACCTTACAGCCTCTAATATGGGATAGAGCCAACCATCGGTAAATTAAATCTGAAAGGTGGACTTTCACTGGAGGTACCTTGCTGAAAGTGCTAGGCAGTTTCTAATACATTGTTTTATGATGTTAATAAAGCTATAATACGTAGAATAAATTTTTCTGTTTGCTTGATATTTTTAGTACTTCAAGCAGTGTCCTTCAGGAAATATCATATATAGCGTAGTCTTCTGGTCCAAAGTCATTGTGTAGATCAATCTGGACTAATAATGTGAATGTGCTCTCAAAGACAGTTCCTGCTGTGAAATAAGTAGTTAGGAGGAGTGCTAGTATTAAACGCAGTAGGAGGAATCAGCCTTTAAATTTGTTTAATCAGATTTAAAAGTGAAGATTAAAAAGTAGAGATTAAAAAGTACTCTTCTGTTATATAGACATGATTTTCTGTATTTAAAAGATGAATATTTGGAGTATATTATTTTAAAGTAAAGCTGTAAAGGGTGGTGGTTTTAAATCTCTCTCTATTTTCTTGGAGATCGCTTACAGAGCTGTAATTAAAAGGTTGATTATTCAGAAACAGAACTCTAAAACTGTACTCCAGTACTCATAAAATGATCAGGTGGAAAAACAGGGCATAATATTCAAGTGTATTACCTGAATTTACAGGATTCCACAAAGAATTTTGTTGGTTTACATGCTTCTAGAACCTTGGTTGATATAATGATATGTAAACTTTTTTCAAATTATTCTAAATTTCCAGTACGTGAGAACCAGGGAGATACTTTTTTCCGTGTGGTTCTGATGTGCATAAAATATCTTTGC